ATAAAAATGGTTAAGACTGAATAATTTCAGTGCCTTGAACATTGTATAAAAATGGTTTGTGTTAACATTGAAAAGTTTTAAGGGCTTTGAACTTAGAATGAAAAAAATAATTTGTGCAAACAAATTTGGAACTAAATATTATAACATTTGAAATTTTGGCTGCATGCGGGGGCATCCGTGGCATGATGACACATTTCTAGTTCATACATCTATTTCTGATGTTTTTAATTCTATATTGACTATTTTTAGAAATTTGACGAGATTTTGTTTATTGAAGATTCCTTTAAAGAAACATAATTGTGTCTCTCAGGGTCTATTTCTGGAAATGTCAGACATCTTCTCTTTTTTTTTTGAAAAAAAAAAAATCATTGAATACATCATCATATTTGTTGAAAACTGGTTTTTGTTGATAATCTGTGTAAGTTTATCTCAGTATTACAAAAATGAACAATCAAAGTCAGCAACTTGTAATCGTATAACAAAAATGAATTATCACTCACAATGCCTTAAATGATCACTTATCATTTCAATTTTAATGAAAAGAATTATATTTTAACAGAAAAAATATATTGATGAAAAGAATATTTTATTAAAAAGAATATTTTAATAAAAAGAATAAAGGATTTGAATTTTACACATGAAACAATATTTCAATTTAAGCAAAATGATCACAATCATAAGTTTGTAATTATGCTGTTATAAGGTGTTATTCTGAATTTTCTTTTAGTTTAAAGAAATAAATATATAAAAAAAGAGTGGGAGTGATGGGGGGTGTAGGGGGAGAGTTGTGGGTGCAGCAGTCCCAATAAAGCAAGCATGCAAATATTGGTTTATATTCCGGTGTCTGCTAAACTATATGATTGAGTTCCTCTTGCACTTTTTTCAGAACTGTATTCTGCACAAGCAGTAAACAAAATTGATTGATAAAGACTTTTATATTTATATCACATTCCCCGGTAGGATATTGATCAGCAGTATTTATTCAATCATTTTTTACATGTTCCTTACAAAATACAAATCTTTATTATTATAAATCAATACCCTGCCACACAGTTTTAGAACGTTTCATTTTCAAAGTGAGTGAAGCAAAACTTAATTTGCTGTTCAGAGTTTTTAGTCTTTTACTGTCGCTGAGGATCTAATTTTTAGAAACTCGCTCGAAAATATCAAGTGAAGAACATTGCGCAAACTTTATATCTTGTCCCAGTATCTTTTTCCAGAAGACAGTCATAAAATTTCATATTGAATGAAAATTCTGCTAACGCAGCAAATTGGCTGCAGCGGTAAAGCGTACAAATAACTACAGTGTAATTTGAGCAATTTTCGTGTGTGTGTATATGATGGGCGATATTGTCCCAGCATCATTCATAACTGTCAATGTAATGGTAAACGTGGAATCAATAAACAGCACCATTTACAATTTTTTTGTACGTATATGCTTGGAGGACGATATATATTCCACATTCATGTCGGAACTCTCGATTTATCTGTGAATGGAAAAGAAGTCGAGTGATTTTGCATTGAGGGAAATGATAATAAAAGATTTTTTATTGATTACATTGACTTGAGATCTTTTATGTATATATCATTTAAGTATGCCTAATTTTAAAATTTATGATGCTTCCAGTGTGTGTTAAAAAATATACTATGCTCATCTTTGGGTAGAATACTTTAATTTCAGAAATTGATTGAAATCTTTATAGACATTCTTACTGAATATTTCTAATCTGAAAGAAAGAATTCACAAACTATGTTTAGGAGGCTGCATGCATTCCTTAATACTGGTCAAGTTAATTTGGTACTTTCTTAAATAACTGCCATTTTTTTGTGAATTCACACTGTGTTTGTTCTAGAGTATCATTCTTCTCAGTGCATACTCAAAGATGTTGTTTTTCTTAGTTATAAAAGACTGTATAGCAATTATCAATATTTCAAATATCAAAATTGAGCATAACGTAATCTTTTATGAAAATTTAAGTTAAGATATTCTTTAAAAGTAATGTCAGAATAACACTTATACATTTGTAATAAAATTGTAAAGATACAACATGGACAACTTTTGACAAGAAACAGTGTGTATGTTATGTTACAAAATTTAGCAATCGGGCAAAGCAATTGATGTATGATTTTGGAAAGATTTTACATATATTTCAACTTAAACTATGCTGAAGGGAATAAACTTCACAAATAACAAACACAATCAATATGATTCTTTTATTCCTATTCATAACATGTTTCTCATGTAATCATTATACAGTCAAACCCATGAACAGAGGCCATCCCATCCATATGAGAGACCGAACATGGTCTTTATAGACAGATGGAATACATTTGGAGATTTCTTTGCCTGTCTACTTCTTCAATAAAAGGTTGTCTACTATAAGAGAGGCCTTCTTTTAGTTTACAAATTGATTTTTATTTGGAGGTGGTCTATTACACAAGTATGTCTGTATATTGAAATAACTAAGATTGAACAGAATAATTATTATGTCAAAGTCTTGATTTTCCTAATGGAGGTAAAACAAAGTCTTGTTGTTTTAAAATTTTAGCTCACCTGCCACAAAGTGACAGGGTGAGCTTTTGTGATCGCTTTTCGTCCGGCGTCCGGCCGGCGTGTGTCGTCCGTCCGGCGTCCGTAAACTTTTTACTTTAAATGACATCTTCTTATAAACCACTAAGCCAATTTCATCCAAACTTCACAGGAATGTTCCTTTGGTGGTCACCTTTGAAAATTGTTCAAAGAATTTAATTCCATGCAGAACTCTGGTTGCCATGGCAAACAAAAGAAAAAACTTTAAAAATCTTCTTCTAAAAAACCCAAAGAGCTAGAGCTTAGATATTTGGCATGAAACATCTTCTAGTGAGTGTCTACCAAGTTTGTTCAAATAAAAGCCCTGGGGTCAAAATTGGCCCCGCCCCAGGGGGTCATTGATTTTCCCTATATGCATATAGTAAAAACTTAAAAAATCTTCTTTTAAAGAACCCAAAGAGCTAGAGCTAAGAAATTTAGCATGAAACATCTTCTAACGGGTGTCTACCAAGTTTGTTCAAATAAAAGCCCTGGGGTCAAAATTGGCCCCGCCCCAGGTGGTCATTGATTTTCCCTATATCCATATAGTAAAAACTTAAAAAATCTTCTTTTAAAGAACACAAAGAGCTAGAGCTAAGATATTTAGCATGAAACATGTTCTAATTGATGTCTACCAAGTTTGTTCAAATAAGAGCCCTGGGGTCAAAATTGGCCCCGCCCCGTGGGTCATTGATTTTCCTTATATGTGTATAGCAAAAACTTAAAAAATCTTCTTTGAAAAAAACCAAATAGCTAGAGTTTAGATACTAAGCATGAAACATCTTCTAGTGAGTGTCTACCAAGTTTGTTCAAATAAAAGCCCTGGGGTCAAAATTGGCCCCGCCTGGGGGGGGGGTCGTGATTTTCCTTATATGTGTATGACAAAAACTTAAAAAATCTTCTTTGAAAAAACTCAAATAGCTAGAGTTTAGATATTAAGCACGAAGCATCTTCTAGTGAGTGTCTACAAAGTTTGTTCAAATAAAAGCCCTGGGGTCAAAATTGGCCCAATCCCGGGGGTCATTGATTTTTCTTATATGTGTATAGCAAAAACTTAAAAATCTTCTTCGAAAAATCCGAATAGCTAGAGTTCAGATATTAAGCATGAAACATTTTCTAGTAAGTGTCTACAAAGATTGTTCAAATAAAAGCCCTTGGGTCCAAACTGGCCCTGCCCCAGGTGTGTCATTGTTTTTAACTATATGTGTAAAGAAAAAACTTGACCAGCTAGACCTTAGATGTTTAGCATGAAACATCTTCTAATGGGTGTCTACCAAGTTTGTTCAAATAAAAGCCCTGGGGTTTAAACTGGCCCCGCTACGGGGGCCTATATACAGGTGAGCGACTGCAGGGCCATCATGGCCCTCTTGTTTAAGAAAGGAAACAGTCCAGCAAGCTGATGAAAGGTTGATAAATTTTCCTAAGGACTGATGCCTGAAAAAAAACCCCTGAGGTCTTCCTATAATTATTAATATGCTGAAAGCTATTTTTATTATGACCTCGCCAATTTTAGTTAACTGACTTAAACCCAACAAAAAAGAAAAAGCAGTGTTGCAAAGAAAATCCACTGTGAATATTGTAGTAATTATAAAGTAGAGAATGATTAGAATGAATAAATCTAAAGAAATGTTATTACAACAAGTAGCCAAGTTAAAATGACAGGCTTATAAAAGAAAACAAGCATAGCAGTTTTGTTTATATTGCCATATCAAATGTAATAATAAAATTCTCAATGATTGTGAAATGAAATAGAAATTCTGTTTATATATAGCCGACATTATAGACAGAAATAATGTATTTAAAATTAAATGTCTATTGACTTTTTTTGTCCAGAAGATAGATGAAGGTTATGAACTTTGTATTAATTTTGACCTCTTGAAATACATGTTATTTCAAGGTTTATTATGATTATATTAAGGTTTCATATCAGGTTTGGCAGATTGAATTATCATAATAAATAAAATGAATAATCAGCACATCAAGATTGCTCAAAACTTAAAGCTGCGTGCCTCTAGATGATCCAACAGACTTCAAGAAAAATCAAACTTGAGAAAAATGTACAAAAATATTAAGAAAAGTAAAAATGTGTAAGATTTAAGTAACAATTTACATGCTAATTGTGCATGCTAATGACGTCATTGTAGAAAACACCCTCTCACATGATAAAAAATGTAATTAATATAGGGTACGAAAATTTTCCTAAGAAGGAGAGAGAGACTTTGGAAAAGACCCAACATAATACCGGTAGTCCATAACTGACTTTCTTGTTGTATTAATGATGGATAAAATACATGTATTTCAAACAGTCGGAAATTCAAAGTTTTTACTTTTCAACATCATATACATGTATATTGAAATTGAATGGCCGTATTTGGTACTTTTGATTATTTACACGTAAAAAATGATATATCTTACTCTTTGTGTTTTGTAGGTTGAAGAAATTCGTCAGATGATAGATAAGATAGCGTCCAACGTGGAGGAAGTGAAGATGAAACACAGTACGATATTGTCCGCACCTCAGACAGATGACAGTAAGTATACGAGTGTACGGTCATTGTTGTACATAGATTTCATCATCTGGACTCAATCGAGACACAATTATTGGACTGAATAAAAAGCAATGATGCCCATTTTCCCCCCTCGTATTCCTTTACAGTGAAAATTCTCATTTCTCAGAGGAACGACACATATTAAATATCATTGACCAGAAATGTAACAGATTTCTTAGAAAATTTGTTATCGAAGTATGGTAATGAAAAAAGTAGATCCATATTCTTTTGATAACTAAGTTGATTCATTGATTTGAATTGAGCCCAATAATAAGATGGTAAGAACGCTTTATTATATAGGATGTTTCCCGTACCTCATAATACCTCATGATCGCTGTTTTCTTCAAGTACAGTTTATTGAGACCTCCCTCTCCTTTTGATCTGAGTAACAATTCTAAATGTTGTAGCAAGAGTGATTCCATTTTGTGTACGTAGTGGGGAAACTAGTTCAACAGTTATAG